AGGAGTTCCTTTTAATGGCTTCATACGTAAAGTCAGTTAATAAGAACGTAAGGACTGGCCCAGCAGTGGCGGCACACGCCTTTAATCCCAGCACTCCGGAGGCAGAGGCAGGAGGATCTCTGAGAGTTTGAGGCCAGCCTGGTCTACAGAGTGAGTTCCACGATGGGCTCCAAAGCTACAGAGAAATCCTGTTTCGAAAAATCAAAAAATAAATAATTAAATGAAGACAAACAAACGAACGATAAATAAATAAAGTGAAGAGTGATTTTTTTCTTCCAGAGAATAAAGTGCCACCTCTAAGGGAAAAATTCAGTCTGCCTTCAGATCCTTCCTAGAAGAAAAAGAGCCACAACCCGCCCCCCCCCCCATTCTGTGCTAAAAATAAAGGCATGCCCACCCTACTGGCTAACTGACATTCTTTACAACAACACTGTTTTTTATTACATGTGTGTGTTGGGGGGGGGGGTACAACGTGCTTGTACTGTGGCACACCCACACCTGTGGAGGTCAGAAGATAACTTGTGGAATTGGTTCTCTCTCTGCCTCCCCAAGTGCTGGCACTGAAGGTGTGTGCCACTCTGCCCAGCACAGCTGACATTCTTCAGCATCCTAACCCTTCTTGAAAAAACAACTAAATAGATTCCTTCCATTAAGGCTCAACTGAGGTGGTTATTTTAAAATTGCAAATGGAAACACATTGTGGAAGGACAGTTGATGAGCATCAAATAATCAATTTAAACTGTATACTGAGTAACTGTGGAATCTGTTTCCAGAGTAGGATGTGATTGTTCCTAGTCCAGACACTGTAGGAATAACAATGAATAAAGCCAAGAAGACGGGGAGGGGGGGGGGGAACGAGACAACACTGCAGCACGCGTAGCAGAGGGGAGAATTTTAACCCCAGCACTCGAGGCAGAGGCAGAGGCAGAGGCCAGCCTGCCTGGGCTACAGCCAGGGCTCACGGAAAAATCCTGTCTCTAAAAACCAAAAATAAAGAAGTGTCTGGATAGTGACAAGTCTCTGGATAGTGTTGCAACTTTTTGTTTAACCTCGGAGGTGTCTTTCAGGAAGTAATATCTCCTGTGGTCAGGAAGCAGTCTTTGAGGTCCAACTCTTCCTTAAGATCTGACTCCAACTTTCTTTCCTAGTAAGTTCAAATAACATTAAATACCGTGTTTCATTTCAGTAGCATCAGTGTTACAGATCAAATAGTATTTATTTATTTGGTTGTTGGTTTTTTTTTTTTTTTTTTTTTTTTTTTTTTTAGACAAGGTCTCATGATGTGGACCAGGTTGGCCTCAAACTCACAGAGTTCAATGGATGCCCTACCACTCCTGGTTTACATTTGTTATATTTCTTGAATGTATGTGTGTATTTTTTTCAGACCACAGTTGCCTGTGGAGTTGGAAACAACTTTCAAAAGTCAGTTTTCCCCTTTTACCATGTGTGTTCTGGGGCTCATCGGACTGGCAGCAAGCACCATTACCTTCTGAGCCAACTCACGAGCCCATAGTAGACACTGCCATAAAACAGCTGTTACCTTTCCTCCCGTCTGTAAATAACCACACAGACCTTTCTAGAATAGAGTAAGTGCTGCTCATTTCAGCACTCCGAAGGTAGAGGCAGGTGGATATCTGTGAGTTAGAGACCAGCCTGATCTACAAGAGCTAGTTCCAGGTCAGGCTCCAAAGCTACAAAGAAACACTGTCTTGAAAAAAAACCAAACCAAACCAACCAAACAAACAAACCAGAATCAGAATCAGCAGCAGCCAGTCACGGTTACATCTGTAATCCAAGCACTTAAGAGACAGAGGCAGGAGGATCACACAACTTTAAGCCTAGCTTGTTCTACAGAAGCAAGAGCAACACTGTGAAAACCAACCTCAACTCCTCCCCCCAATGTATAATGAAAATAACAAAAGAAAATAAAATACAAAAGAACCTTTAAAGACAGACTTAGCAAACCCTGCAGAAGGCTGCAGCTCGGCAGTAGCTAGAGGAACAGCTGTTCCTCGGTGGTGCTGGGGATCAAACCCAGGGCCTTGCTCAGGCACCCCAACCCATCCTTTGAACATTTTGCAAACTTGAGATAAAGATCAAGACCTTCTTTTCCCACTACCCAGCCTAGAGCTGGGGAGCAAACCCAAGGGTTTGTGCCCGTCCTCAGGCACCCCTCTCCAGAGCTATATTCCAGGGTTTTTATTAAAGAAGAAAAATGAAAGTCATAAGCAAAAATAAAGGGGAACCATGACAAATTTGAACCTGTGTGCCACATGAGAAACGACAAACTGTAAACAGACGCAGGAGAGGCAGAGGCCAGGAAAGCCGTGCTTCCTGGAGCAAGGTCTGCCTTGTTTAGATTCCTGCTGGGTTTGCAAGTGGGCTGGGATGGGTCAGGGCGGGGCAGGGTAGAGACTGGCCTAGTCTGCTTTCTCTGTGACAATGCACGCCAGGCAACAAAGCTCTGAGGACTTCTAAGGAGATTTCTTAGCCTGCGGTCATGTGACTTTGGACCGGGTCTGCTCTAGTTGTAACCGCCCACCCCCTGGGTGTATAGGGACCACTTGGCACCCTGCTGTAGGAGGAAACCCTTCACCGTTTCTGAGAAGGTTGTTCTTGCCTTTTGGTCCCCAAAGATGATCCTTAGGTGGAGCCCACGGCAGCACAAACAGAGTAACACTAACTGTGAGAAATCTGAGGCTTGGAGATGAGGAGAAAGCTTTCGTAGGAGAGGGGACACATCTCAAGAAAGGGGAGCCACCTGTTTCCCCAGGACTTTCCATCTCAGCCACTGGCTGGAATTTGATTTTAGATTGTGTGTCTGTGTGTGTACACGTATGTACATGTATGTGGTGGTGGTGGTGGTGGTGGTGGTGTGTGTGTGTGTACATGTGCGTGCCCAAGGAGTCCAGAGGCATGAGACATCCCTGGAACTGGAGTTACAGGCTGTTGTAAGCTACCTCAGGATTGGATGTTGGAAACTAAACTTGGGTCTTCTAAATGACTGCTGAGCCATTTCTCTATCCTCTCTTTTTTTTTTTTTTTTTTTTTTTTTTTGAGACAGTCTCTCTGTGTAGCCCTGGCTGGCCTAGAACTTACTCTGTAGACCAGGCTAGCCTGAGTGATGGGACTAAACATGAGTGTCAGTACGCTGAGCCAAGTGGATGTTTTGAAATAATGCTCAAGTGGGAATCAAAGGCCATTTCCTAGGCAATCTGTGGCCAAGGAGGTGTGAGGAAGAAAAAGGCGGCTGGGTGTCACTTCTTGCCAGTTATAGAAAGAGAAGAGGGAAAGCCAGAGATTGCCTAGGATGACGAAATCAACACCAATTACACGCATGCACTCTCTGGGGTCTGACATTAGGGCCCTTGTGGTCTGGAGGAGTTACTACTAACCAATAGATTTCAATCACCATTTAAATCCTCCTGCTTATTTGACTTTACTTTCAGAGAACAACGTGGAGCTAGTTCTCTCCGTTATGGAGACCCGCAGGATTGAATTCAGTCCACCAGATTTGGTGGCAAGAACCTTTACCCACTGAGCCATCTTCCTGGGCCATGGACCCCTACATTACACGAGTGGCTTGCATAGGTAAGGTTAAGAAGCTAGGGCTGGGGTGTGATTCAAACAGGAAAGTGTGCCAGCAATCCACCTCTCCACTCTAACCACCTTCTGTTGTTTTGGGCGGTCTCAGGTATTCAGGCTGGCCTCGAATTTGTTGTGGCGGAGGATGACCTTGAACTCTGAATTGTCCTGCGCACCTACCTCCGAGATGCTAGGATCATAGATGTGCCCTGTCACAGGTGGCTTATGCAGTTTGGGGGACAGACTTCAGGGCTTCCTGCATGCCAGGCAAGCAAGCACTCTACCAACTGAGTTGTATCCCCTCCCCATTTCTTGTCGTGGAAATGTACAAGAAACAACAGCATGCAAGAGTAGACAGCAAAAGAAAACATCGTAAGGTCCAGCTGGGTGAGATGCCAGTTCACCTTGGAGGCAAGCTACGGTCAGTAAAGAAAGAAGGGAAAAGCTACTTCAAGGAGAGGAGGTGAATGGTACCACAGTTATGGAGGGGGTAGGAAGTGTTCTACAGCATGGGGTGTGCCAAGACCAGATGTGGTCTCCAAATACCTCCAGCAGGCACAAGTTTCCAGTCAGTGAGAGAACAGGGGTGTTTTTCAAGACATTGGAGGTGGGGGTGGACATTCGTGGGAAGTGGAGGGACATAGGCAAACCTTGCCTTACTATCAGTGAGATCAGAGCGACAGGAGGGGAAAGGAGGACCTGGGGAGAGCTGGATGGTGTATAGTCACTGGAAAAGACTACCGAGCCCGTGGAGACGTTTGTGCACGTTTTTTGAATGGTAAGGTTGGGAAAGAAGATGTGCATGCCGTGGGAACGAGCCAAGGCCCTATCTTCATAATGACAGAACTCCAAACTCGCGGGACAGGCAGAGTGAGGATCGCTAGCAATATGCTATGTAGATGGTGAAGCTCCACTTCCCAAACTGTGCATCTTTCTCCGGTTCATCATTGCCATTGCGCAAGGAGCCAAAGGCTGCCTGGCCGGACTCACCGGTCCAGTCTGGGGTTCCCGCCCTAGCTCAGGCTTAGAGCATCAGGTGGGACCCACGGTATAGGCAAAAGAGGCTGAGGGGGCCTCTCCTGGACCTGCAGAACAAGAACCCTTAGGCTGGTGGTCCCAGTGCATTCGCAGGTTCCAGCAAGGACAGTCAGCTTGGAGGCGGGGCCCCCAGGGCGCATGCAGCACCCCTCTGTGCTGTGCACTGACCTAGCTTCCCAGCCACACTCAGCAGGCCTCGGGAGGCGCCCCGGGTCCCCCCAGACGTGGCAGTCCGGGCCCCCCACCTCGAGGACTACAAGTCCCAGCAGCACCCGCAGCTAGCTAGTACCTCCCGCCCGGCCGCGGAGACCCCCGGTCGGTTCCAGCCACGGGGAGCGTGCTGCGCTGGGGTTGAGCGGGGTAGGGAGGCCGGTCCCGCGGGCGGGGGCGGGGCCCGCTCCGCGGCTTCTCCCGCCGCCGCCGCCAAGGGGAGTTTCCAGGAAGTGGCCATATTGGATCCATTCAGCCGCAGCCACCCGGGCGGAGCGCGTCCCGCAGCCGGCGCGGCCCCGGCGCTCCCCGCAGCCCGCCCGTCCGCCCGCCCGCCCGGTGCGCTGCTCGCCATGGCGGCCACCGATCTGGAACGCATCTCGGTGAGGCCCGCGGCGCGCGGGGGCGCGGGAGGGGGCGCGAGGCAGGCTGTCAGCACCGCGCGGCGGGACCTCGAACCCAGGGACCCCGGAGCCAACCCCGGGAGGGGGGTCTCTGCGTGTCGGGCTTCGCGCGACGTAAGCTCCTTTTCGCGGGAAGAAGCCAAGACTTGGGCGGCTCTGGGCAGGTGTGAAGACAAACTCGTGTCCAAAGGGGAGGATCCCGGACGCCCCTGACTCTCCTTCCCCAGGGCGTTCCTGCACCTTTGGGGACTTAGCCGCGCAGGTGCTGTTAGCTGGGTGCAAAGAGTGAGGATGGAGCCCCAGAGATCCAGGGATCCCCCGCCCCGCAACACACACACACACACACACACTCCGGAAAGAGCTCAGGGGAGTTGCAGACTTTGGTCCTGAAGAGTCCAGGCCTGCTGCTCGTCTCCTTCACTGCCCCCCAGGAGCCAGGATCCTGGGTGCAACTCCAGACAGGTCCAGGGCCTCAGTGGCAGGCTCTGGTCTGCGGCAGCCATTCTCAGGAGCTGAAGTGATTCCAGATCCAAACCATTGAGTGTTTGCTTGGGCCCCAGTCAGGGAATGTCTTCGTCCGTGCTGACGTCCCTTGGTGGTCCTAACAGGGGTGTCTGTGGATTTGAGCCAGGCCATAGCTCGCGGAGGGAGGCCTTTCGGGGGTTGTCTGCGCCCTCTCGGTGTCTAAGGCTGGATTTGGGTGTGTCTGGAGGCTAGGCTGTGACAGTGAAGGAAGCTGTGTCCCTTTGCCAGCATGTGAGGCCCTGGTCGGCTGGAAGAGGAGGAGGGGAAGGGAGGGAGGGAGGAGGTGGAGGAGGGCCCAGGGCTGTTGGAGGGAGGGAGAATTCTGAATGTGTGACCGATAACGAATTGGTTCTGGGGCTAAATAAGGGAGCCAGGACTTATGTAATTATGCTATAAATACTGTCATCCGAATTTATATATGCAAATTTCTTCTTTAATCTGAAAATACATTTGTTGGTTTGGGGGAATATGCATAATAAAACAAGAGATCTTGGTTTCATAATGTGTAGCCTGGTGTGTTCTGTGCCCCCTGGAGGGGGGGGGCTGTGTGTCTGTTAAGTAAGTTTGTCTCCACGGGGAATCTGCACAGGCTGAGCCAAACCCAAGATCCACTTCAGTCCTGTGGCTGTAAAATGGAATTTATGTACTTCAGGAAAACAGCCGAGTCCTTATAAACCTGCCCAGTCGATGGAGACCAAAAGATGTGTGTGTGTCTGCGTGCTGTATTTTCTGTGCCTGGCTGACCGGAAGGTTATGTCTGGGTTTGTTTTGAGGTCAGAGGCTTGTCTAACAGTTGGTCTTGCACAGAAGAGAGTAAGGGTACAACAACTGGAATCAGTGGCCTGAGAGGATCCCTTGAAATGCTACTTGTTGGTCATGGGACCTCTGGCAAGCTCTTTAACCCTCAGTGTTCCCCGTCTGTACAGCAAGAGAAACTTTTGTCTCCCTCAGAGCTGTGTGGCGTCTGTGAAGGAATGCAGGTGAGGCGCTTCATGATAAGGACTCAGTAAATACCGCGTGTGAGATGCCGTGGGGAATGCGTTTGCCTGGTGGCTGAGACGATGTGCAGAGGGTCAGCTGAGTGTCGGCACTGTGCAGCTGTGGCTTGGGAGGACCTTGCCTCTGTTTGCTTTTGGATCATTTCTGTGGGAAGTCTTCCCATCCCCAGGGTGAGCCAGAGCCCAGGGAGGGACAGACTCGGTGCAGCTGTAATGCTGGAATTCTGGGACCTTGCGCGTAGTGTGGTGGTTACGCCAGAGGGATGGATGCCTCCCCCGCCCTCTGCACTCTGGGCCCTCAGCCTCCTGGGAGGACTTGGACGGGTTTGAATTTGGGTGGAGATACTGGGTGGAGTTTGGCCGGAATTTAGAAGTCTGGTCTCTTTCTTCCCTACCTTGTCATCTTGGGAAGGTAATTTCCTCCCTTATCTTGTGCACAACCATTCTGATTCCTTAAAGACCTTTTTGAAGGTTAACTGTGGTCTCCAGCTTATTGGAGATGTGCTTGGATAATTTCGCCAGCTGCAAGGTTTGGTGTTGCTGTGGCCCAGGTTTGAGGCTGCTGTGACAGGTATCCACTGCCCCCTTTGGCTTGTGCAAAGGTGCTCAGAGCAGCCCTTTGAGGACCTGAAAACTGTCTTAGTTTGGAACTTACAAGATCACATAGAAGGGTTTGTGCTGTAGCTCAGGGGTGGAGAGCTTACTTAACTTGTGTAGGAAACCCTGGGTTCAAACCTCAGTGCTGCCTGAAAAAAAAAAAACACGCAACGATGTACTTTGAGATGGAGGTGTGTTGGTATCTTGACCCACTTTTCCCAGCATGCTGTACACATCGTAGGCCTATCTTTATTATATTTTACTTGTTCTGTGTGTCTGTGTATGTATGTATGCATGTATGTAAGTGTGAATGTGGAGGTTGGAGGACAACCTTCAGAGTCTCTCTCCATGTGGGGCCTGGGAATGGAATTCAGGCCGTCAGGTGTGACAGCAGATACGCTTACCCACAGCCATCTTGCTGGCCCCGCATCTTTGACCTCTGATTGGTCAGCTCAGGGGCTTAGGCTGTTGTGTAGGCTGGTGGGGTCTGCCCTGAGTAGGTTCAGTCATCTCTTGCTCTACTTGGGCGGTCAGACCCCTGCTGCACTCTTCAGGTCCCTCTCATGCTTCTTGGTCTCGGACTCTGAGGCTCACTCCCCTCCTGCTCTGGCCGGCTCCTGGGACTCTCCTGTCTGCAATGGAGTCCTGTCAGACTCCTAGGTGAGGGACCCAGTAGGGCCCGGGCAAAGAGAAGATGCGGGGGAGAGGGAAGAAACGTGAGGCTGCTTCATGTTTGGCATTCTTCCCAGCCAGTCACTTACCCCCCATCTCCGCTTTATCCTCGGCACCATCTGGTACATCCGTTGTCACCCCTGTAATCTTGACACTTCCCCAACAAGCATGCCGTCCAAGGAGTGCCTATTTTGTCTTAAAGCTAGGGGTGTGGGAGGCAGCCCTTCTCACCCAAGTGTAGCTCAAGGCCCCTGTCTCCGGGATTTCTGTATCCTGTGAAAATGACCAGCAGCCCTCCAAACCTTTCTGGATAGAAACGATAGCTGAGCAGAAGATATGTGTAGCTCCCAGTGGCTAGCATTGAGGGGTCACATGTGAATGCCATAGGCAAAGTCACAATTCTGCAGCTTTCTCTAGGAGGTGGGGTTACCCTACTCTTCCTTCCCTACCTGCCATACTAGGGAACCAGCCTTACCTTACCTTACCTTATAGGATGGATCAGAGCTATGAGTCTGGTGAGAAGGTGTTGATGACCAAAGGAAGTATTTGACTACAGACTGCTTGGAGCAGGAAGAGAGACGATGGCAAGAACAGGCTGACCACAGTGCCAAGGAGGAGGGAGGATAGGTGGAGTGGAGAACTCAGGGTCTGTCCAAGAGCTTTGGATGGTGGGGGGAGGGGGGAGGAAAGAATGTTTTTATTTTTTTGGTTTTGTTTTGTTTCTGATTTTTGAGACAGGGTTTCTCTGTGTAGCAGCCCTAGCTGTCCTAGAACTAACTCTGTAGATCAGGCTGACTTTGAACTCATGGAGATCTGCCTGTGTGACTGCTGGGATTAAAGGTGTGGGCCACCACTGCCTGGTGATGATGGGTGTTTGGATCTCCTGTCTTTTTTATGTCAGCAGGCTGAGATTGGGTGAGGAAGCAGATTTTGGTTGCCGGTCAGTCAAAGATGGGCCCAATGCCCATATGCTAACTCCCACCTGATGGCCCCTTGATGGACTGTTGAGCCCAGGATGGACTAGGTAGTGGTGTGTGTTTGGGAGAGTGACTATCCCAGATGTCTTTGTGGCTGACACCCAGCTTCCTTGGGGCCATGCCCCAGCTGCAGGATGACAGAGCAAAGAAGCAAGGACCAGCTGGCCTCCAGGTATCTCTCAGGGCCTCTTCCACTTCCTGCTTCTGTACTGCCTGTAGGGTCTTGGGATTCCCAGCTGTGTTCTACAATGAACTAGCTTTGTGGACAAGATGTGGAATTGGTTAGGCAGAAGAGAGACACATCTGCTTGGGGAAAGGGATGTCTCCCCAGACTCAGAATGCCTTGTTAGGGAGCTGGGATGTTCCTTATTAGCTTCTGCAGGAGTCGTGCACATCCTGAGGGCTGCTATGGGGAAGCCTAGCTGGGAAGAGGCAGGAGAGGACAGGGCAGGAAGCTTCTTGGTAAAAGCTACAATTGCCCTGTTTGCCTGGAGGCGAATTGGGTGTTCTTAGGACCGGTGGCTTCTAGGTACTTAGTAGGCTTTCTGGCCAAGCCAAGTTAGAGGGACAGAACCAGGAGAAGTCAGAGTCCGTCTCTTCTCATGCTGTCTGGCTGCTTTCTGTGGGCCTTCTGGGTGTGGGCTACCCAGGACCTGGGCTTCAGTGGGGGCTGAACCCAAGATTCTCTCCCCAGGGACAAAGCTGACCCTCTGCCTCCTGCTGGGGTAAATGGGCAACAAATGCATCATAACTGTGCCTACAAAGCCGCCTCTGGCCTTGTCAGTGCTGGAGCGCGCCCTCTGGTCCTCGTCAGCACCATTATCCGTCCTGTGGTGGTAAATAAGGCAGGGACAGTTTGGAACCCACATTCCTCATTCCAAGGCTGGTGTTTCATGTATGAGGAAATGCAGCCTTCTCCTTTGAATGAGGCTGGACCACTTGTGGCTTTTCCCCATTGGCAGACAGTGGTGGCTGCCCCTAGAGCCTAGCCAGGCGGAGAACTGGAGCGGCTGTGCCTCACCCTGGAGCGGCTGTGCCTTCTGCAGCAGAGCGCCCCATATGTGCAGTGGCAGGATGGAACATTTCCTCTTCCTCCCTGCAGCACATCAAAGCCTAAGAATGTCTCTGTCTCGCAGGCCTGTGGGTGGCGGGGACAGGCATGGCCCAGGAACTGTGCTTTTTGGTTTCCCGGAAACCTAATTTTGATGGA